CGCAGTGCCCGCTCCGCTCCGGCCCCGCTCCGCTCCGCTCCGCTCCGCTCCGGTCTCCGCCCCGCGCCGCAGCCATGGACGCCATCAAGAAGAAGATGCAGATGCTGAAGCTGGACAAGGAGAACGCGATCGACCGCGCCGAGCAGGCGGAGGCCGACAAGAAGCAGGCGGAGGATCGCTGCAAGCAGGTGGGCGCCCACCCCAGGACCCCCGGCCAGCTCCCGCCCCCGGGACTGTGATCCCCCGGGACCCAACCTGCTCCCCCCACAAACACCCCCTGCCAGGCCCCAGTGCATCCAGTCCTCCCTGAGACCCTGACCCCCACACCAGACTCCCCCAGGGCCCCAGTGTCCTGCTCGGAGCCCCCCCCCCTTCAGGCCTCTGTGACCTGCCCGTGCCTCGTGTGCTCAAGCAGAGGATCAGCAGGCGCAGACGAGGCTTCATCTCCCCGAGCCCTAGAGACCCCCACCCAGAGCCCTGCACCCACCCGGGCCCTCCCTGGCCAGCCAGGCAGCCACGGACAGCTGGGTGACAGCTGCACTGGATGACAGGCAGGGAGAGGACAGGGCGGGCACCCAAAAGGGGCCTGGCCTGGGTCTGCTACCCTAGTCTTCGCCGAGGGGCCCCCGGTGTTCTCGGGGTGCCCCTGCCCCTTCCCAGGCATGGCCTGCCCCAGCAGCCCACACCCAGCCCGAGCCAGGGCCATGGGTTGAGTCTGCCTCCACCCCAGCTTGATCCCTCCGGTGCAGGAACGTTGTGCCCAGCCCTCCGGGCCCCTCCGTGACTAACCGTGCCACGCTCTGTCGTCCAGCTCGAGGAGGAGCAGCAGGGCCTGCAGAAGAAGCTGAAGGGGACGGAAGATGAGGTGGAGAAGTACTCGGAGAACGTCAAGGACGCTCAGGAGAAGCTGGAGCAGGCAGAAAAGAAAGCCACAGATGTATGTAGCTCCCGCCTGCGCCTGGGCACGGGGATCACAGGGTGGGGGCCGGGGGGGCGGCACTGGGGTCCCACCACTGGGGACGATTGCATTGAACTGGGCTCTGTGTGTAACGGGGCCTGGGCTGGAGACAGGGCAGGGCGCAGCAGGCTGGGATGGGATTGAGCTGTCACTGCGCCACCTAGCATGGGGCAGTGCCGTGGCGGCCCAGTCTGTCCGGGCATGGGCCCAACGCGCTGACCTCATAAAGTTGTCAGAGTGCAGGAGCTGTCCCCAGGCGCTTGTTAGGCTGTTCCGGGTGATCTGAGATGCGTGGGGACGGGGGCAGCTGTGTGCCCGTGGGGCAGGGCCGGAGGACAGGGTCCTGCCTGCATTTGGGGAAGTCCTTTTTCTGTGGGTGGGCGCACCAGGGATGGGCCCCATGGCTTGCAATAGGGCTCTGATTTATGCCTCTTCCAAGAAAGCGGATCTGGTGGGGGGCATAAGGAAGGTGTTGAAATGGCCGAGAGCTGGCCAGGAACAGCTGTGCACAACCTGGGGGGGTGTGGGGTGGGATGACCCGCTGTGCCCCCCCGGGCATTTGACACTCTATAAATAAACCCTTCTTGCTGTATCCAGCCCTGCTTTGATGAAAGCCAACTCCAGCCGCGCCAAGGGGCTGCCTGGCATGGGGCCAGCAGGGACCACTGGGTGTCTGGGGAGCGGGAGTGAAGCCTGCGATCCCTGCCAGTCCCTGAGGTTAAATGTGGGAGGCGTCAGGCCTGGACAGGGCAGCAGCACAGGCGCTCCCAGGGGCCACAAGCCCTGCACAGCCTGGGCAGAGGGGCTGGGCAGGGGCTGGACCACATCCATAGGTTCCTAGGTTCATAGACGTAGGGTCAGAAGGGACCTCTCCTGCCCAGGTCTGACCCCCTGCCCTGGGCAGGAGAGAAAACTGGCCTCAAATGACCCCAGCCAGGTAGATGTCGAGCCTCCGCTTAAAGACCCCCAGGGTAGGAGCGATCACCACTTCGCTTGGAAGTTGGTTCCAGATCCTAGCTGCCCCGACAGTGAAGCAGCCCCTCCTGATGCCTAGCCTGAACCTGCTCTCCGTCAACTTGTGGCCCTTATTCCTTGTTACTCCGGGAGGTGCTCGGAGGAACAAGGTCTCACCCATTCCCCTCTGGTCCCCCCAGTAAGTTTATAGACGGCCACCAGATCCCCTCTCAGCCTCCTCTTGTGGAGGCTGAACAGGTTCAGGTCCCGTCGCCTCTCCTCATAGGGCCTGCCCTGCTGCCCCCTGACCATGCGAGTGGCCTCCGGGTTGTCCACATCCCTCTTGAAGTGCGGCGCCCAGAACTGGACGCAGTACTCCAGCTGTGGCCTGACCAGTGCCGCATAGAGGGGGAGGATCACCTCCCTGGACCTGCTCAAGATGCATCTGTGGATGCAGATGACCCTTGAGGTCCCATCCAGCCCCAGTTCTGTGACCCTTGCCCCAAGGCCTGCCTCAGGGCACAGAGGCACCCACCAGGCCAGCTCTGTGCAGGTGCTAGAGGCAGCCCCCATGAGTGGCAGGCCCCGCTGCCCTGAGTGGAGGGGACGCTGTGTTCCACGGCCACGTGTCCCTTGTGTTTGTGGAGGAGCCACATGTCACAGGCCATGCTGGTTCAGGGCCCTCCCGTGGGCTGGGCCATGGCCTCAGTGATGTGGCAAAGCCTGGGGGAGCCGTGAGCTGAAGCGAGGCAGGCTGGGGCCTCTGGGCTCAGTGCAGACCCTGCCATCGTGGCAATGTGGTGCCCTGTCACAGGCCCAGGCCACGCCAGCTCCTGCCACTGCTGTCTGCTGCACCTCTTGGGCCTGCAGCTGGGGCTGCCCAGGCCTGGGATGGGTCCACATGGAGGGTGGGCTGATCCTCCCATGGCACCCCATGGAGCCAGACCTGGCGCAGGTGCTCATGGCCGGCTGGGTCCCTGCAGCGACTCCAGGCCCCCAGACACAAGCAGGAGTTTGCCCTTGACCTCTGCAGAGCCAGGAGGTCACCTGGAGCCCGTTTGCCCAGGGCTGGGGTGAGGAGGGGTCTGGTCACCCTGCCCCTGGTGCCCTGGCCCCAGCCACCCAGAGCCACGAGCGCGGGTGTCACCCCCAGTCTGCGTCCGCGCTGGAGGCACCGAGCCGGGAGCGCGGGGCCCCGCTCGCCCGGCGGGGGCTGCGGGGCAGGAGCCGG